CCCTCCTCCCTCTCCCCCCCTCACTCACTCTCTCCCCCCCTCACTCACTCTCTCACTCACAAGCCTCCAATCCAGTCCATTCCAATCCCAATCAATTTTCCCGGTGTTCAGATGGAGAAACGCATCGAGCATGATAGGACATCCTAGGAACCGCAAATAAAACCTTTCTGTTTCATTCCATCCAATCCCATCGATTCCTGCAGTGTTCAAATGGAAGAAAAAATCGAACGTGATTGCTCTGGCCGATGCATCGGACCCAGCTGCGGCGTATTATTATTACAAGTGTACATTCGACACTGCCGATGCCACCTTACACACTGTAGTCGCGGAGGAAAAGGCCTCGGGATCTGCCACATACACAATTCCCAAGGATACGGCTGCACTCCATTATTTCTTCATCAGTACCGTTGGCAAGGCGTGCAGCAAGCACGGGCAGAAGTATGAAACGCCGCTTCTCTTTGCCAAGTAGTGATGGTAGGAGCAGTTGAAGGTGGTGGGATGGGATGGCTGGTTATTGTATGTGTGCGTGCAGGTTTAATTAGATGTAGGTTGCATCTATCCTTTCACTAGTTGTAACTATGAACCACCTACCTACATTGAATGTCTGACGAAGAAACTGATGAATAGTTTTTAAGCAGCACCCTAGTACCGGTACCCTAGAATCTTGATCATTGGTAACATGCATTTCTATTCACAAAGACAGCGGTGTACAAAATGCATCGCCACGCAGCACAATAGAGTGCTCTAGTGAGATGGGAACACACCCCCAAAGTGCCTGAAACAAGCAATCGGGGCAGCAGAAAAGAGAAACGTAGGAAAAGGCATGTCAAATGCGCGTCACATGCCGCCGTTCACTCTTGAGGCCCCTCAAACCCTAATTTTGATAAACGCTAGAGCAACACTCACTGTGCATTGAGTCTGTCCACGAGCTCTTATGCTCCCAGCAAGAAGTCACACACCCTCGCTCCACTGCCACCACCAGCTGCCGCACCCCACCTTTGAGGTTCCACAAGATCTAGGAAGCCAGAGGAGAGTTTTGAGGCGACACAGAGCAACACTCACTGTGCATTGAGTCTGTCCACGAGCTCTTATGCTCCCAGCAAGAAGTCACACACCCTCGCTCCACTGCCACCACCAGCTGCCGCACCCCACCTTTGAGGTTCCACAAGATCTAGGAAGCCAGAGGAGAGTTTTGAGGCGACACAGAGCAACACTCACTGTGCATTGAGTCTGTCCACGAGCTCTTCTGCTCCCAGCAAGAAGTCACACACCCTCGCTCCACTGCCACCACCAGCTGCTGCCCACCACTCCTCCTCCCCACCACCCACGCATATACACCAACAGGGCACTGACATGCATGAAGGGACTCAGAAGTCTGTCCACCAGCTCCTCTGCTCCAAGCAGCGGGCCACAACCTCTCTTTACCACCACTCACAAAATGTGCACACAAGCACAAGTCACAGAACCCATTCACTCACTGTGCATTGAGTCTGTCCACGAGCTCTTCTGCTCCCAGCAACGAGTCGCACCCCCGCTCCACTGCCACCACCAGCTGCCGCACCCCACTCCTCCTCCCCACCACCCACGCGTTTCTCCCCACTTTGGATGCCACCTCCTCACTTTCCTCCTCGGCCCCCTCCTCACACCACTCCCCCTTCTCCTTCCCTCGCCCTCCTTCCTCTCTTCTACCCCTGTCCCCTACTCCCGACTCTCCCACCCTCCCCTCTCCTCCCTCCTCCTCACTCATCCCTTTCCTCTCCCCATCTTCTGCCCTGGACCCAGAAACACCCTGCCCCCCCTTGCCTGCCCCATCTGCTGCTCCCTCTGCCTCTTTCCCACCACTCCCCCCTTCTCCACCTTCAGGGATTTCGGATTTTCCACTCTCCCCTTGTGCACTCGCTGCTTGTCGTTCCTTTGACCCTGCAACGGGCACAGCAGAGCAGTCAGTGGGGGAAGAGTAGGAGAGCGGTCAGTAGGGGGAGGAGCAGCAGCAGAGTGAGTAGGAAGAGCAGCGGAGATGTTAGAGTGAGCAGCAACAGCAGTAGCTGCCGGATTGGCAATCGTTTCGAAAGCAACAACAGGGAAGAAGCATCAGCAACAGGAGCACCAGAGGCACAAAATTCAACACCCGCTTTTCCCTCCCCTTGCCTGCTACCTTTCTTTCATCTCCCCACATCCCCATGTAAATCCAACTATCTCTTCCTTCCTTCCCAACTGAGACGACCTAGGAACATACCTCAAATTTAAGATGCAAAAGAGATCCACTGATACCTTTCTCTTCTTCCCCCCTCCTCCCAATGAGCACTTCACTTGTCTTCCTTCCTCCCCTTTCAAAATGTCTTCGTGTGGCGCATCAAATGTTTGAGACGATTTTTCAAAGCACCTGCAAAATCAACTCAGATTTCAGGTAGTTGGCACCTCAACCACCCATACCTTTCGTTCCTCTTCCCACCCTCGCAGTGAGCGCATCTCTTCTCTTCCTTCCTCCTCCCTGCACCACCATCAGCATCTCCCTCCTCTGCTGCTGCCTATCTGCCTCGTGCCTCATCTGGTTCAGCACTGCAAGGGAATCCTGCGGGAGGGAGTGTAGGGTGGCAGCGGAAGATAGAGAGGAAAAGCGTACTGATCAACCCACTACCCTCCGCCTCTCTGCCTATCTGCCTCGTGCCTCATCAGGCTCAGCACTGCAAGGGAATCCTGTGGGAGGGACAGGTAGAGTAGCAGAGGAGAAGGAGGCAAGGAAGGGAGAGCAGGAAGGGGGAGGCAGGGAAGGGGGAGGCAGAGAACTGACCTTCGATAGGGTAACAACTGACCTTTGATAGGGTAACAACTGACCTTTGATAGGGTAACAACTGACCTTTGATAGGGTAACAACTGACCTTTGATAGGGTAACAACTGACCTTTGATAGGGTAACAACTGGCCTTTGATATGGTAAAAACTGACCTTTGATAGGGTAACAACTAAACCTTTGATAGGGTAAGAACCAACCTTGGCGAGAGTTGAGACTTTGCAGGGAGGGGACGCAGCGGAGCAGCGGGTCGGTGCACAGGTAGCGAGTGAAGGGGGGGAAGGGGAAACGGAGTGGGGAGATGAGCCTTTGATAGGGTGAGAACCAACCTTGGCAAGAGTAGTGACTTTGCACGGCGGGAAGGCTGAGAAGGAGCGCAGCAGCGGGTCGGTGCACAGGTAGCGAGTGAGGGGGGGGAAGGGGAAACGGAGGGGGGCGGGTCGGCGGGGAGGCTGAGAAGGAACGCAGCAGCGGGTCAGAGCAGAGGTAGCAGCAGCCTTGGATGTGGGGTGGTAACTTGTCAAGTTACTGGCACCAAGGGACTGACCTTGGCGAGAGTAGTGACTTTGCAAGGTGGAGAAGCAGAGAAGGAGTGAAGCAGAGGGTCGGTGCAGAGGTAGCGACAGCCCTGGATGTGGGCGGCTTGCGGGTTGACGTGGTTGACGTGGTAAACTTGTCAAGTTACGGGTGCTAGGGACTGACCTTGGCAAGGGTGGTGACTTTGCAGGGAGGGGATGCGGAGAAGGAGCGGAGCAATGGGTCGGTGCAGAGGTAGCGGCAGCCCTGGATGTGGGCTGCTTGCGGGTTGACGTGGTTGACGGTTGACGCGGTTGACGTGGTAAACTTGTCAAGTTACGGGTGCTAGGGACTGACCTTGGCAAGGGTGGTGACTTTGCAGGGAGGGGATGCGGAGAAGGAGAGCAGCAGAGGGTCAGAGCAGAGGTATCGGCAGCCCTGGATGTGGGCTGCTTGCGGGTTGACGTGGTTGACGTGGTTGACGCGGTTGACGTGGTAAACTTGTCAAGTTACGGGTGCTAGGGACTGACCTTGGCAAGGGTGGTGACTTTGCAGGGCGGGGAGGCGGAGAAGGAGAGCAGCAGAGGGTCAGAGCAGAGGTATCGGCAGCCCTGGATGTGGGCTGCTTGTGGGTTGATGTGGTGCCGCAGCAGAGATGACTCCAGTGCTTCCATCTCCCTCAGCAGCTGATGAGAGAGGGAGAGAGAGGAAGGGGGAAGGGGATGGGAATGTGAGTGGCTGAGGTAGCGGCAGGCAGCCCTGGATGTGGGCGGCCTGGGGGTTGACGTGGTGCCGCAGCAGAGATGCTTCCAGTGCTTCCATCTCCCTCAGCAGCTGATGGGGATGGGGGAAGACGCACAGGAAATATCAGCACCACGCACTGAAGACAGAGGGGCGGTGCAGAGGTAGCGGCAGGCAGCCTTGGATGTGGGCCGCTTGGGGGTTGATGTGGTGCCTTTGAAGCGATCCCTCCAGTGCTTCCATTCCCTCAGCAGCTGATGATGGGGATGGGATGGGAGGAGACACAGTGGAAATGTGAGCAGCAGAGGTAGCGGCAGGCAGCCCTGGATGTGAGGCGCCTAAAAAATTGCGGGTAGAGAGACGACTTTTGAGGCGCCTCAAAAGATGTGTGAGCAGCAGAGGTAGCGGCAGGCAGCCCTGGATGTGGGCGGCCTGGGGGGTGACGCGGTGCCTTTGAAGCGATCCCTCTAGTGCTTCCATTTCCCTCAGCAGCTGATGATGGGGATGGGATGGGGGGAGAGGAGGTTTAAGCATGAAGAGGCATGGAAGGGCACTGGAGGCAAAGGGTCAGTGCAGAGGTAGTGGCAGCCCCGTTTATGCAATAACAAAAAGAGTTCCCATCTCGCCTGTGTGTGCTCCAGTCACCTTATAACGAGTCAGACAAGGCAATACACTCAGCTCACCTCAGGGTGAAGGTCTATTTGACCAGCTTCGTTGTTCCTCCTCTGCCCCTCCCTTGCTGACTTTTGAGTCAACTGAAAAGTCAAAAGTCGACTTTTGAGTCGACTCAAAAGTCAACCTTATAACAAGTCAGACAAGGCAATACACTCAACTCACCTCAGGGTGAAGGTCTATTTGACCAGCTTCATCGTTCCTCCTCTGCCCCTTCCTTGCTGCTGCTGGTAATGGTTCTACCACAAGTGCTGTCAGGTCTTTGACAAAAAACACCCGCAGCACTCCCAACACTCCTGCTCCCTTTCGCTCTCCCCCTCCCTCTCCCCCTTCCCCTCCACCCTCCCCTTTTCCACCACCGTTTTCCTTCGTTCCTCTCTTTCCCAGTTCCCTTCCTCCTGCTCCTCCTCCCCCCACTTCTACTCCCAAAGACCTTAGGTAGACTAGAGGGGGGAGAGGCGTGTTCGTTTGGGGATCTAATCCCCATGCTGACGTGGAAAGGGAGTGGCCTGACGTGGATTTGGCCCAGGATGACGGGCGAAGGGGGAGGGGAGGGGAGGAGTAGGGGAGGGGGAAAGGGGAGGAGTGGGTAGGGGGGTTGGAGGAAGGGGAAGGGGGGAATGGTTGGTTGGGGTTGGGGCAAGCTGAGGGGGAGAGAGGGGGAGTGTGGGCGAAGGGGGAGAGATGGGCGAGTGAGGGAGTGGAGGAGGAGCGAGGGAGGGTGGGAGTGAGTGAGGGAGTGAATGAGGGAGTGAGTGAGGGGCTGAGGAAAGAAGAGGAGGTGCGACGGGGGGAGGGGGAGGAGGGGCGGTGAGAGGAGGGGGAGGAGGAGGCGGAGGAGGAGGTGGTGAAGGGGGAGCGGAAGGGGGAGAGCGAGCGAAGGATGGAAGATGAGGAGGATGAGGGGGAGAGGGAGGAGGGGAGAAGGCGCAGGAACGCATAGGAGTGTAGTGCTGCAGTGTCAGCCTGAGGGAGGGTGGAAGCAGACGGGTGAGAGGGGAGAGACGGGAAGGAGAGGGGTTAGAGGAGGGGAGGTGAGGGGAAGCGGAAAGGCCGAAACAAAAAAAGAGAAACTTTGAAGATCAAAGGAAGTGAGAAACAGCAGGGAAAGCAAAAAGAGAAGCTTTTGAGTCGACTCAAAAACAGCAGGGAAAGCAAAAAGAGAAGCTTTTGAGTCGACTAAAAAACAGCAGGGAAAGCAAAAAGAGAAGCAGCGATGGACGGTGCAAACTAAGGGGCAGTTAAGAGAAGGTTAGTAAGACCTCATTTTTTAGTCGACTTTAAAGTCGTCACGCTAAGAGAAGGGCAGCAGGGCAGCAGAGCAGCAGAGCTGCAGAGCTGCAGGGGCATACTGCAAGGGTTGGCAGAGCAAGGTTACCGGGGCTGCAGGGCTGTTTTTGAGTCGACTCAAAAACAGCCTGCGGGGCAGCAGAGCAGCAGAGCAGCAGAGCAGCAGAGCAGCAGAGCAGCAGAGCAGCAGAGCAGCAGAGCAGCAGAGCAGCAGAGCAGCAGAGCAGCAGAGCAGCAGAGCAGCAGAGCAGCAGAGCAGCAGAGCAGCAGAGCAGCAGAGCAGCAGAGCAGCAGAGCAGCAGAGCAGCAGAGCAGCAGAGCAGCAGAGCAGCAGAGCAGCAGAGCAGCAGAGCAGCAGAGCAGCAGAGCAGCAGAGCAGCAGAGCAGCAGAGCAGCAGAGCAGCAGAGCAGCAGAGCAGCAGAGCAGCAGAGCAGCAGAGCAGCAGAGCAGCAGAGCAGCAGAGCAGCAGAGCAGCAGAGCAGCAGAGCAGCAGAGCAGCAGAGCAGCAGAGCAGCAGAGCAGCAGAGCAGCAGCAGCAGCAGCAGCAGCAGCAGAGCAGCAGAGCAGCAGAGCAGCAGAGCAGCAGAGCAGCAGAGCAGCAGAGCAGCAGAGCAGCAGAGCAGCAGAGCAGCAGAGCAGCAGAGCAGCAGAGCAGCAGAGCAGCAGAGCAGCAGAGCAGCAGAGCAGCAGAGCAGCAGAGCAGCAGAGCAGCAGAGCAGCAGAGCAGCAGAGCAGCAGAGCAGCAGAGCAGCAGAGCAGCAGAGCAGCAGAGCAGCAGAGCAGCAGAGCAGCAGAGCAGCAGAGCAGCAGAGCAGCAGAGCAGCAGAGCAGCAGAGCAGCAGAGCAGCAGAGCAGCAGAGCAGCAGAGCAGCAGAGCAGCAGAGCAGCAGAGCAGCAGAGCAGCAGAGCAGCAGAGCAGCAGAGCAGCAGAGCAGCAGAGCAGCAGAGCAGCAGAGCAGCAGAGCAGCAGAGCAGCAGAGCAGCAGAGCAGCAGAGCAGCAGAGCAGCAGAGCAGCAGAGCAGCAGAGCAGCAGAGCAGCAGAGCAGCAGAGCAGCAGAGCAGCAGGGGCATACCGGGGTTACCGGGGAGACGGTAGAGGCGAGCAGCAGGCTGTGGCAGAGCAGCAGCGCAAGGGCTGGAGCTTGGGGTTTGGGGGTTGGGGTTTGGGGTTTGGGGGTTGGGGCTTGGGGTTTGGGGGTCGGGGTTTAGGGGTTGGGGTTTGTGGCTTGGAATTTGCCGGGCATGGGAGGTTGTGGCAGAGCAGGAGCGAACGGCTTGGGGATTGGAATTTGTGGCTTGGAACTTGACGGGGGATGGGGGGTTACCGGGGAGAGGGTGGAGGCAAGCAACAGGTTGTGGCAGAGCAGTAACGCCCCTCCCTGAAAGGCATCTGCTAGGCGATGGGCGAGTGACTGGTGGGAAGAGGGGGGAGATTGGGGATGGGGGAGAGAAGAAAGGGAGCGGTGTAAGAGAGAGGAAAGGTGTAGGAGCAGGAGCGCCCCTTCTTGAAAGGCGTCCGCTAGGCGATGGGCGAGTGACTGATGATCGGAGGGGGAGGGATGGGAGGGAGAGAAGGGAGAAGCAGAGCAGGAGCAGGAGCAGGGAGATTGGGTAAAGGCGAGCAGCAGGGTGTGGCAGAGCAGCAATGCCCCGCCTTGAAAAGCGTCAGCCAGGCGATGGGCGAGTGACTGGTGGGAGGGGAAGGGGAGGGGAGAGGAGGGAGAGAAGGGCGAAGCAGAGCGGGGTGATTGAGAAAAGAGGATGTAGCAGATCAGCAGCGCCCCGCCTTGAAAGGCGTCTGCTAGGCGATGGGCGAGTGACTGATGGGAGAGGGATGGGAGGGGAGAGGTGGGCATGACACAGAGCAGGAGCAAGGATAGAGCAGTGTGGGTGAGAGGTAAGATGAAGAGGCAGCAATGCCCCTCCTTGAAAAGCATCGGCCAGGCGATGGGCGAGTGACTGGTGGGAGGGGGTTGGGGGGGATGAGAAGAGCAGCAGCAGCAAGGAATGGGCTGAGGGGTATGCATGCAGGGACTAGGGAGTGAATTACCAGAGAGGGGAGCGTGAGGGAGCGGGGGAGATTCAGGTGGCGACAGGAGAGGCGGTTTGAGAGGGAGTCGAGGAGAGCAGGTAGGCGGACTCGAGGCGTGGCCGGGGCAGATAGGGCGAAGGGGAAGGTGAGAGCAGAGGGCTCTGGGGACCCGCCTGAAGGGGGGAAGGGGGAAGCGGGAAACAGTGAGGGGGGAAAGGGTATTGCAGTGCAAGGGGAAAGGAGAAGCATTGCGTTTTGAGTTGACCAAAAAATGGTCTCGAAGAGGTGTGGGGGCGGAGAGGGCGAGGGTGAACGCGAGAGCAGAGGGCTCTGGAAAGCCGCCTGGAGGGGGGAAGGGGGGAAGGGGGGAGCGCAGTGAGCAGGGAATGGGGAAGCACTGGTTGAGTTGGGTAAAAAATGGTCTTGAGGAGGTGATGGGGAAGGAGAGAGGGCGAAGGGGAATGCGGGAGCAGAGGGCTCTGGGGACCCGCCTGGTGGGATGAGAGGGGGAAAGGGGACGCAGTGAGGGGTTTGGAGCACATAAAAAAAGAGGGGCGGAGGCGGAGAGGGTGGAGCGGCATGCAAGAGCAGAGGGGCTCTGTGAACCCGCATGGAGGGATGAGAGGGGATGGGGAAACGACATGTACGATCCACAAGCGTTGGTAGAGACAAACTTGAGAAAGAGACGTGAGAAGGTTTTGCTGAGTGAGAAAAATGACGTGTACGATCCACACGAGGTAGAAGAGACACTCACCTGTGAGGAAGTCAGAGAGGAAGACTTGCAGGCAGGCACACGCTAAATCAGAATTGAGAAGAGGAGTGCGAGAGAGACAGCAGTGAACGCAGACTGGGAAGGGGAATGACGTGTGCGCTCCACACGAGGTAGAAGGGACACGCACCTGTGAGGAAGTCCGGGAGGAAAGCTTGCAGGCAGGCACGCGCTAAATCGGCTGAGGGGGGCGCGGTTGATGGGGAATCATGCGAATGTGTGTCGGAATGGAGTTCTGATGAAGGTGTGGCTCCTGCTACTCCTGAGGGGTGAGTTGATGCTGCTGAGGGGGCTTGAGGGGGTTGCTGCTGCTGCAACAGGCGGTCGATGCTGCCGAAGAAGAGACGAAAGAGCGCATGCGCCTCCACCAGATACTGCCGAAGAGCCTCGTCGCGCACTGTAGCGTCGGGCGGCACGATGCCGTTCACCCCCCGACACTCCACCACCTGCGATTGGGTTGAGGGCTCGAGGGGTTGGGGGTTAGGGCGGACAGAGTAGAAAGGCTGCACTGTAGGGTTGGGAGGCACGACTCCGTTCATCCCCCGACACTCCACCACCTGAGATTGGGTTCCGGGAATCGAGGGGTGGGGGGTTGAGCGGATGGAGTAGAAAGGCTGCACTGTAGGGTTGGGAGGCACGACTCCGTTCATCCCCCAACACTCCACCACCTGAGATTGGGTTCCGGGAATCGAGGGGTGGGGGGTTGAGCGGATGGAGTAGAAAGGCTGCACTGTAGGGTTGGGAGGCACGACTCCGTTCATCCCCCGACACTCCACCACCTGAGATTGGGTTCCGGGAATCGAGGGGTGGGGGGTTAGGGCGGACAGAGTAGAAAGGCTGCACTGTAGGGTTGGGAGGCACGACTCCGTTCATCCCCCGACACTCCACCACCTGAGATTGGGTTCCGGGAATCGAGGGGTGGGGGGTTAGGGCGGACAGAGTAGAAAGGCTGCACTGTAGGGTTGGGAGGCACGACTCCGTTCATCCCCCGACACTCCACCACCTGAGATTGGGTTCCGGGAATCGAGGGGTGGGGGGTTGAGCGGATGGAGTAGAAAGGCTGCACTGTAGGGTTGGGAGGCACGACTCCGTTCATCCCCCGACACTCCACCACCTGAGATTGGGTTCCGGGAATCGAGGGGTGGGGGGTTGAGCGGATGGAGTAGAAAGGCTGCACTGTAGGGTTGGGAGGCACGACTCCGTTCATCCCCCAACACTCCACCACCTGAGATTGGGTTCCGGGAATCGAGGGGTGGGGGGTTGAGCGGATGGAGTAGAAAGGCTGCACTGTAGGGTTGGGAGGCACGACTCCGTTCATCCCCCGACACTCCACCACCTGAGATTGGGTTCCGGGAATCGAGGGGTGGGGGGTTAGGGCGGACAGAGTAGAAAGGCTGCACTGTAGGGTTGGGAGGCACGACTCCGTTCATCCCCCGACACTCCACCACCTGAGATTGGGTTCCGGGAATCGAGGGGTGGGGGGTTGAGCGGATGGAGTAGAAAGGCTGCACTGTAGGGTTGGGAGGCACGACTCCGTTCATCCCCCAACACTCCACCACCTGAGATTGGGTTCCGGGAATCGAGGGGTGGGGGGTTGAGCGGATGGAGTAGAAAGGCTGCACTGTAGGGTTGGGAGGCACGACTCCGTTCATCCCCCAACACTCCACCACCTGAGATTGGGTTCCGGGAATCGAGGGGTGGGGGGTTGAGCGGATGGAGTAGAAAGGCTGCACTGTAGCGCTGGGCGGCACGACTCCGTTCACCCCCCGACACTCCACCACCTGCGATTTGGGTGGGGTGGAGGGGAGGATACGCATCAAGAGATGGGAGTGGGGAGGAATGGGGGGCATGGGGAAAAGGCTGGGCAGCACAACGCCGTTCACCCCCCCCAACACTCCACCACCTGCGTTTTGGTTAGGGGTATCGAGGGGTGGGGTGGTAGCGGGAATGGGAGTGGGGAGGAACGGGGAGCATGGGGAAAAGGCTGGGGGGCACACAACGCCATTCGCCCCCTGACACTCTACCATCTGAGATATGAGTGGGGTGGAGGGGAGGACAGGCATCAAGAAGAAATGGGAGTGGGGAGGAATGGGGAGCATGGGGAAAAGGCTGGGCAGAACACCGCCGTTCACCCCCCCCCGACACTCCACCACCTGCGATTCGGTTAGGGGAATCGAGGGGTGGGGTGGTAGCGGGAATGGAGTTGAGAGGATGAAAATGAGCAGAGATTATGGGGAGAATGGGGGAAGAAGGAGGAGTGACCGGGGAGAGGGTTGAGGCGAGCAACCTGGTTGAGCAACGGAGGGGAGAGGATAAAAAGAAGGGCGTCCCACCCAACACTGAGGTGGTTTTTTAAGGCGGTTTTTGAGGCACCTCAAAAACCACCTCAATGCACCTGGTTGAGCAACGGAGGGGAGAGGATAGAAAGATGGGCGGCCCAACACTGCTGACTCCCCAGCACACAACCAGCACTGTTGAAGGGAGAATGTGACTGCTGGGTGCGTCACTGTAATGACTGTAAGCATGTGCAAGCGCCATGCACCCACCAGCACCACTCACCACCGCACTCACCAGCACCATAAAAATGCCCGGTTCACACTCCAGCAGCACGTGGCGGTTGAAATGCGCGCGCATCACCTCACAGGGGCGATTGGGGGAGAAGATTCTGGAAGAGCGGGGAAGAAGAGGGGAATGAGAGCAAAACTAGTTAGGGAGTGGGGCCAGGCAAGGGGAGGAATGAGGGGGTGGGAAATAGGGGGTGGAGTAGAGGCAGCCTCAGGCTCTCATTCCAGAGGCCTCCCAGAGCCCCAGCAGCACCACTTGCTCCGACGGCGAATGAGCATATAGCGAGCGCGATTACAGGGAAGGATTGCGGCGAGTGTGCCTATACCAAGTGTAACTACAGCGAGCGCGGCACCTGGTGAAGGCGAGGAGGCCCTCCCAGAGGCCCAGCAGCGCCACTTGCTCGGACGGCGGAGTGGCGGGCGGAAAGAAGAACAGAAGCTTCTCCGCTTCTTCCCCCTCCCGCTTCCCCCGCCGCGAGTCGAACACGCACACGCGCACCGCGCTTCCCGCTGCGCCGCCTCCCCCGCCGCTTCCCCCGCCGCCGCCCATCCCGGCTCCCCCTGCGCCCGCTCCGCCTTTCCCCATGCCGCGGGGAGACGCGCGGAGAGGCGAAAGTGCGACTTCTGCGCTGATGCAACAGACACGCGCAGAACGGCTGCGGAAGTGCGAAAATGCGGAGATGCGGAAATGTGGAAACGCGGAGATGCGGATGAGAGGTGGCAGGCGATGTTTCATGTGCCTACGCGAATGCTTCGCAGATGAATGATGTGCATCGGATCGGAAGCCCCAGAAGCGCTGAGAAATTCCTGTTCCAGTGGAGAAGGGCTTTGAGAACAACCTGCCGCAGCATGAATTTCGCTTGTCCTGATTCTCGCGCGTTACTGCAATACTCGATTGGCACCCTCGATAACTGTTTTAAATGCGCGAGATTTTTTCAATAGGTGATAAAAATTCAAAATTGCTTGTCTTGCCTGTCCGCTCAAGAGCGCACACACACATTGTTGTACCCTTTACACTCCCTTCTATCTTGCAATTTGCTCCTTTTTCACTCATTGCTGCAAGCAACAGCAACGATGCCAAACATGAGGTACAGGCAGCTTCATTTTCACAATACACTGTTCTTAAAAGCACAATGAGTGCTTAAATTTCATAATAACGGATGTTTAGCATTAGATTCCTACAAAGGGGAAACATCTACAGTAATCAATTCTGAAACATGCCTTGCAAACAAGGCAGGAAAAATGCGGAATTCTATACCACATCTGGCTCGCCGTGGTCATGGAGTTCCGAAGTTCGCGCGTCTGTATCACAGCAGTTGGGCCTCAGCGCTTACAACCCATGACAGCGCAGAGACGAAGATATGTACAATTATGTCGAAGGTACGCTGGCCATACGCGCTCGCGCAATTCGCGTTCGGGCAGCCCAGTGAAAAACGGATTCATCGGGAACTGCTCGCGCCAGGGGAGATGTCGGCAACGTCGGCAACGGGTTACTAACCTCCGCGCCGCTCTCGATGGATGCAGTTCGCCACACAGGCCGTGACGTGGCAGCACCAGGTGAATTTCCGAGCGATTGCGAGCTCACGCGCGAGTGCACGTGCGACTGCGACTGCGACCGAATTGGATTATCGACGTCAATGCGGTCCCCGTTGGTGGAATTATCCTCGACGGGACAGGACGATGTGCGAAGAGGAATGACGGGGAAACATATCCGTGGCGAATTAGATACACTGTTACCAGCACTGGGAGCGCTGCTGCTACAGGCGGAACCCACGCTGCTGCAAGAACTCCCCGCGGTTACCCCTCCCGCGCTCCTCCGGCCTGCGGTTACCCGTTGTGTCGCCTCCAGCACTCCAGACGGCAGTCGTCGCGTCGCTTCACCGCCTCTGGCGACGGCGGCTGCGACGTCTGCAAGCTCGTTTCCGGACGACGTGGATCGCGCGACGAAACCGCTGCTGCTGACGGGGAAGGGAACGGCAGCGCTGCTTCTAGGGGAAGAAGAGGAGGCAGAAGCGGAAGCGCCAGCGTTGGCGAGGACTGCGCAGGACTGCGTGCGGAGCAGCGTTGTGCGGAGGCTCTGCGAACACTCCCCGTTCCGCGCAGCCTCCCAGAAGAGCAGGCGCTGATTGGTGCGTTGAAACGTGGGTTGCTTCCACGCTTGCGATTGGCTGTCCAGCGAGCTTTGCCGGCTCGAGTCGCGCGAGACGGGGAAAAGCGCCGAATGCGGCAGCCCGACAAGAGGCGACGAGGCGGGGAAAGAGGGGGCGTCGGCATAAGAAGGAACGGTGGGTGACGCCATGGGGGAAGAAGCGACCGGGGAGGAGGCGCTTGGGGAGGAAACGGTTCGGAAAGAGGCAGCAGTTCTGTCGGCGGGAAAAGCGTCGACGGGAGGAGAGGAGGCGGAGGAAGAGGAGGGGAAAGCGGCGGCGGCGGAAGAGGCGGCGGGGGAAGTGGAAGAGGTGACAGCGGAGAGTGCGTAAATGCGGAGCGAGCGGATGTGGTCGGAGCAGTCGGCGGGGAGCGACGAGGCCTTGACGAGGGGAAGCGGCGGCATGGCGACAGTCGATAAGGGCTTAGACCACGGAATTTGTACTAACGACTTGTGCGTCTCGGCACGAGAAAGAATTTTGTTCTGTCGACTGAATACACGGTCACGCTGATAAGCGGCTCGGATTAGCTCCTGTAGTTTGTCGCGGTTGGTCTCAAAGTCGCGAAACTCAATTCAGGGGGATCGCTGTCGGTATCGTTGCTGTATGGGCCAGACGCAATCTAAAATTCTGTAGCTCTTACTAGGACGAGGCTCTTTGAGCTAGTAATCTGATCTAGGCTAAATCGATGCTGTTGTGTTCTGAGGCTGAAAAATGCTATTCTGTTCTAAAAGCGTTGTCTCGCAAATTGCACCCGACAGGGAAATTGGTACGGAAATGAAGGGAGCAGCTGGCTTAGGATCACAAGGGATTGAGCGCTGAGGTTTGGAGTTGGAAACGTGAGGGATGACAGAAATAGAACAGCGAGGGAAGGGGGTGATGAGCAAGAAACCACAGCGAAGGGTGGAAACGGGAAAGGCGGTGTGATTGCTGGAGCGCCAGCTTGCTGTTGGTTCCGGTCAATTCGAACTGCGATCCAATCTTCGCAGTGCGTGTTTGCAAATGTGATCTTTTCGGGCAGAACCATGCGGCTGCCCGTGTTTAGGGTTGGGGCTCCCCGTGTTTAGGGTTGGGGCTCCCCGTGTTTAGGGTTGGGGCTCCCCTAATCGCATGCCATCCAGATGGGGTTTATTTTTTTCTGACCGCGGGCAGATAACGACCCCTCAGCTTCTTCCACTGGGGATCGCATTTGCGAACCGCGCTGGCTAAATTGGATTGCAGCTGAAGTTGTCCCCTGTTGGTTCTGTTCCTCTCACGCGGATTGCTGAAATGGCTGAAATGGTGATTGACAGCCTGTTTCGCTGCGACAGCAAGAGGCAAGTGCCTGCATCTCGGTTGCATCAATTTGACTGCAGTGTTTGCGGTGCTGCAAATCGCACACAGCAAGGCCTGGGGGTTCACACATGGGGAAGTGATGGTTTTGAAAGGCAGGGGGGAAAGGGGAGAGACGCCAGCTGCAAGGCATGTGGTTGCTGCTGTTGCAGCGCCATGGCAGTTCCAGACTGGTGCGCTGACGTGACTCCCCCCACCCACGCAACCTCCTCCCGCCCGTGACTCAGAGGGGTTGGAGGGGGATGGTGAGGCGATGTGGCGACTCGGCGGGCGGGAAGAGAGCGGTTGGGGGGTTTGCAACAGTGAAGTTCAGAGTTTCCGGCCCTGGCCTGGCTTGGGTCTTGGGGGAAGGAACATTCGAAACTATACCGTGATGAGAGGGAGTGGAAGTGGAAGTTTCGCAAGGCACGGCATGTCCTGGTGAACAGATGGCGTAGACTGGTATGGTGGATTTTTACCCTGAAATTTCGTTGCCCATCGTGCATCATCAAGGTAGGATGATTTTCCTATAGGCAGTTTTGGTAGTTACTAAAAACGTATTCAAAGTGAATGTCCACATCCCTCGACACAACCACTAGGATGGTCGACACATTTCTGCCCTCAGATTCAGCATCTGACGGTTGAAATTTCTCGACACCTCTCGACGCTTAGCCGAAGTATGTCGAGTTCACTTTGAAACACGTTTTCTTCCCCATTGCAATGGACCTTCATTTGCAGTGTTGAATATCCTATTTTCTTCTTCTAAACCCAAAACCATGGTTTTTCTTAAACAGGGTAGGCTGTCGATTGGTCTGGGCCCAATGCTGAAGAAACACAAAGTCTTGTAGAAGCACCGTGGGAGAAAAGCTTGTGATTGGGTTCAACGAAAACAAGGCTTGGTTTCAAGCATGTGTGTTGACCACAAAGGTCGTGCTATGGTGATTGTTCGCTGGCCTTTATTTGGCATGTGATTGGTCCATTTCACAAAAAAAAAAACACTAGCGTCCTTCTGAAGTTTGCTGTGCTGTACACGAGTGTATGCCGACGCGCAGGTTGGTTCGTCAGAGATCGGAGCGTTTGGGTTTGGTTTGATTGGAACGTCGGGCAGTACAATCCCGACGACGACGCCGATTTTGCATCCAGCTGTTTTGGGAGCTCTGTGATTGGAGCACCCCACCCATTTTTGTCGCACAGCGCATCCCGCATGACTGTAGATCAAAGAGTTTTCACTTTCCCAAGCCGCATTTCGCACTGTTGTTAGAACGTGGTCATCATGAATGACGACGACGGCAGCATGTTGTCTCGCTCCCCCCTCCCCCCAAGACCCCGAGACAACCACCCAGCACATCACACAAACGACGATCGCCCGCCGTCGAAATTGACAGGGCGTGGACGGCGATGACCTTCGAAATCTGTCTCGATAAGAACGTCTTCTCCTCCGTATTGTGTGTGTATCAAACGGTGTAGGAAATTCAACTCTTTATCATCTCTAAACTTCATGGCACTTCCAGTATTCCCCATGCGAGCAACCCCCCACACATTTTTTACACCGAGCAGTCCCCACGCGCAGGATTTCTATCGCGCCTTCGACCATCTCATTTCCCCATCCTCTAGCAACAAAAGGTCATGCGATGCATGTTAGTACGCGAACAGCCGCCTTCGTTAAATCTCTATACTGTTTGCCTCCATCGTTTTCAGTCTAATGTTACGGCGTTTCCGATTTGCTGGACTCAGATCGTTCCCCATCCAGCCACACGCCGCCATCTCTCGCCTCCTTCCGCTACAAAATGATCCGCTCACATTCCTCCGCGCCCTTCCGCGCGCGCCCTCGCGCGCGTTTCCCCCTGATGCGCGCCCGCGCCACCTCACGGTGGTTGCGGGGCGGCGGAACCACGGGGGGGGCGCGATGAAGCAGAGACCCAAGGACTGGCGCCCGCAGTCCACCCCCTTCCACGCGCGCAACCGCAGCCCCCGGCGGAACGACCGCGCCGTTCCGCTGGGCCCGCGGGGTGGAAACGGGGGCGATGGGGGAGACGGTTCCGCGGAGGGCGCAGGGCGGATGCAGCGCGATGTGGCGGATCTGGGCGCGGATTGGCGGCTGAGGCCGGGGGAAGCCGTGGGAAGAGTTATGTCCGCGCAGGCCAACTTCGTACGCGTTATTGTAACGAGATGCCGTGTAGAAGGCGAGAGAGAGGGCATCGAGGAGCGAGGAGGGGAGTCGGACCGAAGCAGTAACGGTCACTCACCCCAAGGTGGGATGATACGAATCTGCGGCTAGAGTATTTCTGTCACAAAATTTTAAACCCTTTCCAACTGTTCTCCTCTCTTAGAGGAGCAGAAACCCTGAACCCACCCCCGGCCCCTGCCCACGCCCTTGCCTTTCTTTCCCCAAGTCCCTGGACCCCAAGCCGCAAATCCCTCGCCCCTCTCCCCTCACACGCCCCTCTCCCTCCCGCCTTTCCCATTTCCAGGAGAACCTGAAATCTTTCAACCTCGGACGCCTGTTACTGTAAACCTCTGTTAAACCTCTCTCCGCTCTCAAAGGCTGAAGCACGAAACCCTAACCACCAGAGGGTCAGACAGCAACAGTCACTGCTATTGGCATTAGGACTCATCCAACCTCTGCTTGTGGATCTTTGAGTCGACTCGAACATTTTGGGTCAATATCTTAGTCTACTGAAAACCAGACAATGAGGCGGAAGAAGCAGTCAGTGCAGTTGGCAGCAGCAGAAGGGTATCCATGCAGTGGCCGTATCCAACCTCTGCTTGCGGATTTCATGCCTCACAAGATGGTAACTTATGCATGCCACCCTCCCATTTGAGCAGATGGGGGAGGAGAGGAGAGACGTCAAGGGGTGCAGTGGAGCAGCAAGTGGGGAAGCAGACAAGACACTGCAAGGGGCATTTGAACTCACCTCCCACCTCCCACCCCCCCTCTGCGTCTCATGTTATGCATGCCACCCTCCCATCTGTGCAGATGGGCAAAGAGAGGCGCCAAGGAGTGCAGTGGAGCAGCAAGTGGGGGAGCAGAAGCGGCAAGGGGCATTCGTATCGACCTTCCCCCCCCCCCCCGCTCCCCCCCTCTCTGCGTCTCATGTTATGCATGCTACCCTCCCATTTGTACAGATGGGCAAAGGGAGACACCAAAGGGCGCAGCAGAGCAGCAAGTGGGGGAGGAGAGACAGCAGGCAGAGGGCGCAGAGGGGAGAGAGGGGAAAGAGGGAACGGAGAGAAGGGAGGGGAGGGAGGAGGAGAGGGAGGGGGGGTTGAGTTGCTGTGTGTGGTGCGAGCACTGCTGAAGAAGCTAAGGCGGAGGGTTCTAGTAGGGGACGTTGTAAGGCTAGGTGTGATTGATTGGGCGGCCCGCCAGGCTGTCGTTCAAGACGTTGCGCTGCCCCGGGCATCTGAAATTTTGGACCCGCCCGTGGCGAACGCGGACCACCTGCTGCTGCTTTTTTCGCTTGCCCAGCCGCCGCCCGAACCGACAAACGTGAGCCGGTTTCTGGTGGCTGCGGAAGCGACAGGTGTCGCCGTGTCATTGGTGTTCAACAAGGCGGATCTAGTGGGAGAAGAGGTGAGGGGGTGTGTAATTTTTTTTTTTTTTTTTTTGGGTTGCGAAGCAACCCTTTACGATCGATTTTGACAAATTTTCTTTCATGTTTTTTTTAATAAAACATGAAATAAAATTCTTAAGCTACAGTACTACCCTTCCCATAGCAGTTTTTGTAATAGTATTGTGCATAAATGCTATACTGTTTCTCTTATATCTTTTACTGTTTGCGTTTGATATTGTTGTGATAATTGCATGTGATAAAATTTATGCATACTAGTAATGAATTACATGCCACGCATGTTTAAATGAATGTAATAATGAAGCATGATATATAAATGCATACCGATGAAAATGCTTTTGTATGCACATGATATGCTGAAATGCACCACACCAGTATATCATACAAATGCGTGATAGTTAACGACCCAAAAACTAGGCTACCGCATCCCCTGCCTAGCATGGGGGGGAAGTCAATAGCAAAGTCTTTGAATAATCAACTAGCACATGAAACAATACAATCTGTTAACTCTAAAAAAGAGGTTCACTCTATCAAATCCAGTTCGAAGTGGCAAACACACGAGTCACTGAGTGCGCCAATGAACCAATGAGAAATGATAGAAATGAACCCCTTTTTAAAAATTGACAGACATGCATTGATATTGCAATGAAAGATGAAATGAATGCATTCACATAGACAAACATATCCACACAACAAAAACACACGAGCTCTGGCAAACCCAGCCAAAAAACGCGCAATACACGTGATACTAAATAAGAAGCAAATCAACATTAAAATGACAATACGATAAATCCTAATGACCAATACACATTTTCCAAATTGAAATCGCCTTCCTGACCAGCACGGCTCCTGAGAAACGGGTTCAGGAAGTGGAAAGGAGGAACAGACAGAATTAGCCGGTACAACAAACATAACAGAAAAAGGTATGAGATGTGATGAAATGAAGAGAAAAAAGACTAACGAATAAGCAAATGAAACAATACAAGGGCTAAAAAAACGACGTGAATATTGAATGGTTAGACCTGACAAAGAGCAAGGAGAAGAATGTACCAAGGCATAAAACGAGAACGGGAACAGAGGGACAAAATAACGAGACAGTAAACGAAAGCAGAGAATATAACGAATACGGAGAGCGAGAACAACGGAGAGCGAGAGCGAGAGCGAGAGAGGACAGGAGAGAGAGGACGAGAGATGGAGGACGGGAGAGAGAGGACGAGAGAGAGAGAGAAAACGATTCATGGTAAAACGATTCATGAGAGAGCGCGATAGGGCACGAAAGAAACGATGCAGCCTTATTAACGACCTAAAAAAAACAAGGACAACTGACGCCTTTACGAAACCTAGGCTTCAACGATTTTCATTCCATGAAAACGACCAAATGCGGAAGTACGAAGATCTTAGTCTAACTTGTGATCGTTTAACTTAGTCTCTAGTTAATAGCTACGGGTCTTCTAACCAACGAGATGTTCTTTATCTCTTCTTTTATCTCACTTTCAAACACAGTCGGTAACAAAAGAAGGGAAGGCTAAGGAGATAAGAAAGCGAAGATGATGGTGATAAGATGAGATCTAAGCGAAGATTATGATGATGATAAGAAAGCACCTATGTCTGGTTTAGTCTGGTATGTAACATCCAACTTAGATCTAAGTTATAGATTAGGTTCTTCTCACCAGTGGCATAAAAATGGAGTAGATGGCGCATACGTAGCAGGCCACCTGAAGGAAGAACGCAAAAGGATATAAAAAAGAGAGAAAGAAAGAGGTAAAACCACCAGTATTGATCGAATTAACAAGGAAAATGAACATGGCTAGAACTAGATATAAAAGTGATGAGATCGCGTCAAGAGAGACAGACAAAAATCGAATAAGTGGAAAAGAAGCACTAGCTAAGAACGACCTAACTGTTAGCAGCCCAAAAAAACAGATCTAGATGTTAAGTTAATATGGCGGACGTCAAGATTCTACCTAACAACAACATCTAACAAGCTATATTACGAGTCGTCGGTAGTTACGATCCACCATATGCTAAGTTTAGTCTAGCGTAGAACATCTAACTTAGTTATGTTCAACGAGGGTAATTCTCACCACGGGTAGGTTGGTGGAGCGTGACTAGCGGCCGTTATAGTTTACAACCAAGCTCCAGTGGCGAGAAGGGAGGGTGGAAAGGAAGAAACAGAAACCCTAAAGGCGTTGCTGATTGAATATTACTATACATTTTTTTAACAAATCTGTATTAGTTGTCCTCGCGCAGTCGGTTGAATACGACCTTCGGAACCGCAAGGTCTGATGCTCGATTCCTGCGGTACGCACTTTTCAAACCTCAAACTAAACACCCCAAAAAGGGATGGAAATCATGTAACTTTCTTTATGTAATTTTGTTTTTATTTTTTTGTACAATGAGAAATGCTTCGCAACCCTTAGACGATTTCGTCGCCTCTTGTTTTTTTTTTTTCACCATCTTGGCTGGGCTGCTTGTGAATGGGGGCACAGGGTGGGGCAGAGGATGAGCACTCTAGGATCTTACAGCTGTTACTTTCTCCCTCATATCTCCCCTCTCTCCGCTCTCCTCCCTTCCTTCTCTCTCACCTCTCCTCCCCTCCCTCCCACCAGGTTGCAGAAAGCAGCACAGAGAGGGTTTTTTTTTTTTTATGTATGCATTACTTTAGCATCAATCTACATAACTTCATTCACTATCAGATGCTTACATCCAGTTTCCCTTCACTCGCCCCTCCCTCCACTACCCAACCCACCCCTCACCTCCTCCATCCCCCTTTTTCTCCCCCTTTTCCTCCTCACCCCACTTCCCTCCCATCAGGTAGTGAGAGAGTGGCAGCAGCGGGCAGCGGAATGGGGTTACCAGATGCTCACATGCAGTGTGGAACAGCAAATCGGAATCCGCCACCTGGCGGGCCCAGGAGGGCTCCTGGCTGGTCGCACTACAGTGATCGCAGGACCAAGTGGGGTTGGCAAGTCCAGCCTTATTAACGCTGTTTTGGGGGAGGCTTATAAAGGGGACGCTTATAAAGAGGATGTTTGTAATGCAGATGGCTTGAAAGAGGGAGGGGAGGGAGAAGGTGTGTGGGAGAAAGGGGAATTTGTGGGGACGGGTGGAGGGGAGGAGGAGGAGAAACAGGGAGGAGGAGGGGAGAGTGAGAAGGAGCGAGGGAGAGGAGGGGAGGCGAGATTTGAAGAGTTGAGGGTCGGGGAGGTTTCGAAACGGAGTGGGCGGGGGCGACACACAACACGACACGTGGCCCTTGTGAAAATACCAGACGTGACTATAGAGGGAGTCACTGCTACGTCAGTACCAGACGTGATTGTAGAGGGAGGTGTTACCGTAACGGTACAGGATGTGATCATAAAGGGAGAAATGAGGGAGCCAGTGGATGAAGTGATGAAAAGGGAAGATCCGGAACAAGTGGAGACAGTGAGATTACAGGAAGAGGATGCAATCCACAACCACAGCAGCAGCAGTACCACTAGTTACAGTAATAACAAACTTAACAACAACAGCAACCGTGACAGTAGTGACAGCAGTGTCTTTAATAGCAGCAATAACAGTGGCAGTAACAGTGCCAGTAGCAGCAGCGGGGAGCACAGCAGCAGCAGCCGCAGCAGCAGTAGCAGCAGCAGCGGGGGATTACTAGCAGACTCACCGGGATTCAGCCAGCCTTCCCTCGCCAACGTGACCTCCTCCGACCTCCCCATGCTCTTCCCCGAGGTACGTATATATATATATATATACAGCAGCAGCAGGGTTCACACACAGAAGCAGCAGTGGGGGGTTGGTACTCGTTGGGGTTCATTCATCCATCGTTTGCCAACATGTATCCGCGACCCCCCCATGCTCTTCCCTGATGTACCCTTTTGATTAAAAATAGTGGATATGCAGAATATATTTTTTTAAAACTTGGTTTATTATTGTTGGGCTGAGTATAATTGGAGATATCTTCTTTTGAGAAAGTCTGATATCGTGGAGACTTAATATGATTATTGATTTAGAAATTTTGTGAATGCCTCCGCATCCCCCTCTTGCCCCATGCCCCAGGCCTCATGCCCCATGCTCCTTATGCATTCTGACTCCCTCTGTACTCGAGCCCTTTCTCCCAACAACACAGATTTGCACACGTCTCGCCACCTCCTATGCATTCGGTGACTCCCTCGTCGTTCCCTTTTTCTCTCCCCCTTGCCATTATGTCTTGCCTCTTCTTTCTCATCGCCCTCTTTGAATTCCTATCCCGTTCGCCCAACAATGCAGATTCGTTCCCGCCTAGCCGCCTCCCCCACCCCCTGTGCATTCGCCGACTGTCGCCACATCAGTGAGCCTGGATGTGCGGTGGACAGCGGTTGGGAGCGGTATCGGCACTACGTGATGTTAATGGATGAGATTAGAGCGCGGGAAGCAGCTGAAATCCGGGCCGTTGGTACGAAGAGGGAGGGGGATGTGAGGTTGAAGAGTGGGGGGTATGGGGTGGTGGTGGCAGAACCGAGACTAGAAGCAAAGAAGCACAGGAGGGAGTCTAGAAAGAAAGGGAAGCAGTTGCTGCTGCAACAACTGGCGGCAGAGGAAGAGGAGGATGATGAGGAGGAGGGAGTGGGGTTTGTAGGAGAGTATGAGGGGAGTGGGAAGAGGCGGTGAGGGTGGGGGAGAGAGCGGGCGAGAGACACCTGGGTTGGGAACCAAGAATGGACTTAGAAAAGTGGGGGGTATGGGGTGGCGGTGGTAGAGTGGAGACTAGAAGCAAAGAAGCACCGGAGGGAATCGAGGAAGAAAGGGAGTCAGCTGCTGCTGCAACAACTGGCCACTGAAGGAAAAGGAGGATGGGGAGGATGACTTTTGCAGGGAGGGTGCAAAGGGAGTTAGAGACCTGAGTGCGAGCAACCGTTTAGGGAGCGGAGGGTAGACTGAGCATCAGTGGGCCAGGGAGTCTTTACATATGCTGAACCTGCTGAGGTCATGAGTGTTTTAGAGAAATTCAGGGTTTAGGGTTTAGGGTTAAGGGTTAAGGTTAAAGTGGATGAATGGGCTGGGTGCCTTGGGGTAAGATGTACAGTGTACTGTTTATGGAAGAAAGATCGAGTATATGGGTGACATCTTCGTTTTTTCACAATGGTACGGCTCATTTTGGTGCGCAACGGTATAAGGTGGTGAAACCTGAACTGGCCCAAGACGTGGCCAACCTGCGCCAAACAAACTAGCCAGCGATTCGTTTTCCATGCTTCGGACAATAAAGCATGACCTGCCCGAACAAGCAAGCCAGCGATTTGTTTTTCATAGGACGCAGGCGTCGCATTGCAGTATGCTGCAGGAGTGCTTCTTGCCGTATGCTCGCTTGCAGTCTGCTGCAGAAGTTTCGTACGTTTGGTGCACGGATCACTCGAGGTGTTGTGGCGTGGTGAGCGTGAAACACAAATCCATACCGTGTTTGGTTTTCTTATGCACACCATACGTAGATTTTGCAAGAGAGATGCTTATATGTACAAAACGAGCTCGTTGAACTCCTTGATACCATTCAGTACTCTAGCAAACAACATTGTATGGTTATCTTATCGAAATCACTTTTGAGAATTCTCAAAAGTGACCCCAGACCCCCAGTCCCATGCTCGATGTTTTCGGGCAGCGTCTTACCTTCAAGGACTGGGGTGCTTCCCTCTGTTTTATCTTCATGCAGCCTTGGAGCAGAGAATCCAGATCCTTGTGTTTCACACGGTCGAAGATCGGACGTAAGAAGCTGTCAGGGTACCCTCGGGCTTTGAGACGTTTGAAGAAGGCCACCTTCCTGTTGAAGAACGTGGTAGCTGAAGAGTTTCGGAGGCAGTGCCTCTTAAGCTCGCCCGAGATGAACCCTACCTTGCATTCCCTCGAGTGGTAGGAGGAGAATGGGAGGTACATGTATTTGTTAAGTGGCTTCTGAAATGTTGCGACGTCCAAGCACCCGGTCTTCTTAAACCTCTCCCCTTTGTGGAGAGTCAGGTCAAGAAAGTCAACATTGTTGTCGTTAACTTCCCAAGTGAACTTGATGGTTGGGCGGAGCTCGTTGAACGCCGAGAGGAACTTCTGTAGCTCTTCTCTCCCCTTGTCCCAAAGGATAAATCCGTCATCTATGTACCTATAATGTACCAGTGGCAAATGGTCTACCTTCCGATATAACTCCTCATCCAACCAACTCATAAACAGGGTGGCGAAGATGGGAGCAACCGGGGTGCCCATTGCCGTACCTTGTACCTGTTGATATACATTATTATCAAACTGAACAAAGGAATTGAGCATCACCCACCTAAGTAGCTTAACCAGCAACGGCCTAAGAGGATGTTGTTCACGAAACAAAAGCCTATCTACTGCTTCTACCCCATCTAAAATTGGTATAGAAGGATACAAGCTTTGAACATCATAGGTGCACAAGATAATATCTGAGCTAATCTGCAAACCTTCAATCTCCAGGAGTAAGGAGGTACTATCTTTCAAAAAGGTCTTCTGTTTCTTCAGAAGAGGTCGGAGCTGACCATCCAACCATTTGGATGCCAAGGTAGTTATCCAGGAGTGGGAGGCAGCGATTGGTCGCCCCACAGGCACCTTCTTGTGCATTTTCAAGAGAATGTAAAACCATGCTGGCTGTCAAAACATATGCATATTAGTATCTAGGCTATATTGGGGCTAGCCTTAGAGGGTACAGAAACATTCTCGACACTCTAGTCTTGTACCCCAACCTTGACCTAATCTCACACAACTTCATGCCTAAGATTCTAAGATGGTATCTAGAGCCTAGAGGTCTCTAGGACCTAAGATAAGGGCCCACCGTTACCACGTTACCTCACCTGCCTTGCCTGCTGCCCGCGCGCGCCTCGGCTGCACGCGCGCGGCCCTGTTTTTTTTTTTTTTTTTTTCCCGCGCGCGCCGCTTGAGCAGCCCGCGAGCTTCTCGTTTAGGCCCGTTTAGGCCCCTTTTTCGGCCCCGCGCGCCACGTCAGCCGCCCGCGCAGCCTGCCGCCGGCCCGCGCGTCGCGTAAGCTGCCCGCGCGCAGCCCGTTTTCCTCAGCGCACGGCCCGCTAGCCGCCCGCGCCGTCATTGCCGCCCGTGCGCAGCCTGATCTGGCCTCGCGCGGCACTTAGCGCGGCTCCCTAGCCGCTCGTCGACCGCCGCGCGCCGCCACCGCGTCCCCTTCGGCCGCCGCCTGTGGCTCTTTCGCCACCTTTCGCCAGGCAATCGCGCAGCCCGTACAGGCCACGTCAGGCCCGCGCGCGGCCGGAACAGCCCACGCCAGGCCTGCACGCTGCATTGCGCCTGTGCTGCTGCTTTCTGCCGCTGCTGCTACTTGCTGCAGCTGCTTCTACTTACTGCCACTGCTGCTACTTGCTGCAGCTGCTTCTACTTGCTGCTACTTGCTGCAGCTGCTGCTACTTGCTGCCACTGCTGCTACTTGCTGCAGCTGCTGCTACTTACTGCCACTGCTGCTACTTGCTGCAGCTGCTGCTACTTGCTGCCACTGCTGCTACCTGCTGCAGCTGCTTCTACTTGCTGCAGCTGCTGCTACATGCTGCCACTGCTGCTACTTGCTGCAGCTGCTACTACTTGCTTGTTGTAGGAGCACCCGCCCTGCAGCAGCCGCCCTTGCCCCTGGAGCAGCCGCCCCTGCAGCAGCCGCCCCTGCCCCTGGAGCAGCTGCCTCTGCAGCAGCCGCCCCTGGCCCCTGCAGCAGCCGCCCCTGCAGCAGCCGCCCTTGGCTACTGGAGCAGCTGCCTCTGCAGCAGCCGCCCCTGGCCACTGGAGCAGCCGCCTCTGCAGCAGCCGCCCCTGGCCCCTGGAGCAGCCGCCACTGCAGCAGCCGCCCCTGGCCCCTGGAGCAGCCGCCCCTGCAGCAGCCGCCCCTGCAGCAGCCGCCCCTGGCCCCTGGAGCAGCCGCCCCTGCAGCAGCCGCCCCTGGCCCCTGGAGCAGCCGCCACCTGCAGCTGCCGCGGAGCCCTCGCCCTACAGTGGTGCCGGCCTCGCCGTTGCCGCCGTTGTACGCCGGCCCTTCTTGCCACTGGTGAGCACTGTCCTGCCCGTACTGCTGTTACTACTGCTCCTGCTGCTGCTGCTCTTTCTCCTGCTACTGCTGCTCGTGCTGCTCCTACGGCTCCTCCCCTTTCTACTGCTACTGCTGCTCCTGACGTGGCCGGATGCAGCTCCAGCGCCGTCCGCGTGAGTCCCTCACGCCCCCAAAGCTTCATGAGTGGTACGCTCGTTGGGGTTGTCGGGGTGGCCGTAGTGGGAGTCGTTCTGGCGTGAGTAGTCTCGGGGCTTCTTGTAGTAGCCAGGTGCCGCTGCAGCGTCGTGTGCGCGCGGTCCCTTCGCCTCCGCAACTTCATGAGTGGTACTTTCAGCGGGGGGGGTCACGGGGTTCTGCTCGCTGCCCGTACGTCATTCGCACTGGCGCTCGGACTGGCCAGCCTTGCGGGACGTTTGGTCACACAGAGTCCCGCTGCTTCGCCAGTCTGAGCGACGCCTGGCGTACAGAGTTTGGCGACGCGGCTGAGCTCCCCGACTGGGTGGAGCTGCTACGGCAGAGGGTAGATGTCTATGCTCTTGACTTTGATGCTATCCTCACTGCCATGTATGCATTGTCTACTAGTGATGCCGGTGACTGTTCCCTGAGTGTTCCGCCCGACCCGGGCGGTGCAGCTGCTGCTCTAGGTGCTAGTGCGTCTGCTGCTCCAGGTGCTAGTGAGTCTGCTGCTCCAGGTGCTGGTGAGTCTGCTCTCTCAGGTACCACGTCTGCTCCGGCGTCGCACACTTTCACCCTTGACTCGGGTGCTTCCCGCTCCTTCTTTCGAGACCGCACCACTCTCACGCCGCTCAGTCGGCCGGTTGCGGTCTCCCTGGCAGACCCCTCTGGGGGTCCTGTCCTTGCTCACTACTCCACTGTCCTGCCGTGTCCAGCGGTCCCGTCTGGCTCCCTGTCCGGTCTTTACCTCCCCTCGTTCTCTACGAACTTGGTGGCGGGTGCTGATCTACAGGATGGGGGGGTTGACCAGTTCACCCCTGCGCGTCAGCGGGTGACCCACTGCACGTGTGCAGACACGGGCCGACACTTGGCCACGTTTACCCGTCGGCCGGGGTCGAGCCTGTACACCCTCACTACCGAGTCTCCTCCGGTTGCTGTGCCTGGTCAGGTAGCTGCGTCGGGTCAGGTGTTTGCTGCGGCGTCTCGGTCTGGTCCTGAGTCTGCCCCCTGCTCGTGTCGCCTCCTGTCCCACGAGACTCTTCTCTGGCACCACCGTCTTGGTCACCCCTCCCTGCCTCGTCTCCGAGGCATGGCCTCTCGTGTCCTGGTCTCTGGTCTCCCCCGGTCGCTCCCTCCCCTTCCCCCGGGGCCTGCCCCTACCTGCGTCCCCTGCGTCGAGGGGCGGCAGCGCGCCGCCCCTCACTCCTCCGAGTTTCCGCCGACAGAGGCTCCGCTGCAGACTCTTCACATGGACGTGTGGGGCCCAGCCCGCGTCCGTGGACAGGGTCACGAGCGCTACTTCCTGCTGGTGGTTGACGACTACTCGCGTTACACCATAGTCTTCCCCTTGTGCCGCAAGGATGAGGTCACTGAGGTGTTGATCGACTGGATCCGCGCAGCTCGTCTCCAGCTCAGGAAGAGTTTCGGCTCGGACTTT